GAAATAATTAATTAGGGATCATTAATTACACCTTTCTAATAAGAGTTGTCTTATTATTGTCTAAAAACATTCATATTCAAAAATTAGCGCATTTATGCCTTGACATTTATTTGCTTCATGTTACGAGACATAGTACTGGTCTAGAACTGTCACAATTCTCCAGTTATGCAAGAGGGCTGTATTTCCTTCAGATCCTGTCAACCTCCTGTACACCTCCGATTTTGGTAAGTCAAGGCATATACCTTTATGTCCTCTTATTAGATCAAAATCGTTTTGCTTACTGATATACTTACATTACAAAATAATTGAACATACAATAAAGAGATGAGATTCGATGAACCAGAATATGGAATAAAACTTGGAAAACTACAAGTGTAAAATTCAAATTATTATCAGTCGTATAAATATAATAAACTACAATAACCTATTACTACTATTACTATTTTTCACGACGAATCAATTGATGGTGAATAATAAAAAAAATAAAAACCCCGTTCCTTTGTAGTTAGAATAAATATCATCTTGGAACAGTGAAAATTTAGCCCTGTTTCCACCCTCTGATTTTACACCCTGCCGCGCCCTTAGAGCATTGTCTCGCCAACCTTCTAACTCGAACGAAACAACCTAGAATACAACAGGTATATCACACTACGGCTTCAAACATAAAAAAGTATTTTATGGGCGATAAAGTCAGAAAAAAAATACTAGTAGCATTTTTCAGATGTCTTCGGACTATCCCGACTATCCGTAAAGTTCGAGTATACCTACCACAGGGATTCTCAAATGCATGCTACTGAAACCATGCCCTGATTTGATTTGAGCCTGCCCAGAAATTGGGGTGAAAAGGTGAAATGAAGTCTTGTTTTTTCAAAACTCGATTTTGGGAAAGTTTCCTTCAGATGAATTTTTATAAAATAAGTTCGGAATTTCTCCAGTTTTATGTCCACGCTTTACAGAATGGCGACCGATGAAGTCCAAGTCTTTTCAATTTTCAAATTAGAGCAATTTTTTATTATCAGGGCGGCAAACTGTGACGTACGTTCTGAATATAGTCTGAAGATAGGGTAGTTGGCTTCATTCTGACAGGTTATGGTTTTGTTATCTATGCATTGAAATATCTCGAATAGAGCTCGATCCTAAACGAAAGTATCATTGAATCAATGAATCACTATCGACTACATTCAATGATACTATCCCTCCTAATTTACTGTCATCGGTCAGAACAGAATGAAGCCGATACCCATGCCTCCATATATCTACTACTCATATATGAAGCATAGCTGTCCTCAAAGCGGGATCAACTTCTGTCTCTATAGGTAACAAAATCGACCAATAGGCGTCGATGCCGACGTATGGAAAAAATAATACGAAACTTGTCAAACCAATAGGTCGCGTGCACGATGACCGACCCTGGAGGCAAAATATTGAAACACAACCTCACTCTTCTGTGAATTATTGAAACACAACCTCACTTTTTTCATTTGTATACAGAGGAACCAAAGGATTGAAATAGTTTTTCACAACAGTTTGGCATACGAATCGTGTTTTTTGCGCTATTCATTAATTCAACTATGCCTTCTCATTGTGCTGTTGTACAATGCACAAAAATTGCAGCGAGAGACGAAGGAATATGATTTTTCAGGTAAATAGTAATCTCACATAGTTTTTATCATGCATGAATCTAATTTTCTTGCATTATTTCAGAAATTTCATGAGTATTTCTATTAGCTCCTATTGCAGAACGAATTCCGATGGGAAAGTGAGGTTGTGTTCCACTTTTGTGCCCCATATTGAGTTCATCATTGGTTGTGCCTGTTTCCATCCTCCACTTTCCGTCCTTAAAGATTCGTAATATTCAGACAAAAATGCAAAGAAAACATAAACACATAAACAAATGCAAGTGTGGTTCTCATTTCCGATGTTGATGGGGAGGCGGTCGGGCAGCTGCACGGCCACTAAATGAATATCCAAAACAGGCGGAAAATGTTCCGAACCATTTCGTGATATATCTCTATAAATAGTGGTTTATTCATATTTCCATCATCGAATTCGTAATTTTCCGAATAATTTCCAGACAAAAGTACAAAGAGAACATAAAAGAATGCAAGTGTGGTTCTCACCTCCGATGTTGATAGAGAAGTGGTCGGGCAGCTGCACGACCAATAAGTGGATACCTATCGAAGACAGGCGAAAATTGTGAAATTCCGAAATTGTTCGTGAAATATTTCGATAAATAGTGGTTTGTTCACATTTCCATTATCGAATTCGTAATCCCCCGTGTAATTTCCAGAAAAAAGTACAAAGAAAACATAAAAAATGCAAGTGTGGTTCTCACCTTCGATGTTGATGGGGTGGCGGTCGCGCAACTGCACGGCCACTAAACGAATATCCAAAACAGACTGAAAATGTTCCGAACCATTTCGTGATATATCTCGATAAATAGTGGTTTATTCATATTTTCATCATCGAATTCGTAATTTTCCGAATAATTTCCAGACAAAAGTACAAAGAGAACATAAAAGAATGCAAGTGTGGTTCTCATCTCCGATGTTGATAGAGAAGTGGTCGGGCAGCTGCACGACCAATAAATGGATACCTATCCAAGACAGGCGGAAAAATGTGAAATTCCGAAATTGTTCGTGAAATATCTCGATAAATAGTGGTTTGTTCACATTTTCATCATCGAATTCGTGATTTCCCGAGTAATTTTCAGAAAAAAGCACGAAGAAAACAGAAAAATGCAAGTGTGGTTCTCTTCTCCGATGTTGATGGGAAGTGGTCGGCAGCTGCACGGCCACTAAATGGATATTGGATATGTCCGAACTTTTTCGTGAAATATATCGATAAATAGTGGTTTGTTCACATTTTCATCATCGAATTAGTAATTTCACTTCATGATTTATCTCGATAAATAGTGGTTTGCTCAAATTTTCATCATCAAATTCGTAACTTGCAGACAAAAATACAAAACAAAACATGGAAAATGCTAGTGTGGTTCTCACCTCCGATGTTGATGGGGTGGCGGTCGGGCAGCTGTACGGCCACCCCGAAGCCGCCCAACTTGACAGGGGCGGAATTCTCCTCGGTGGCCAATAGAACGCATTCGGGCCGCACGTCCCTGTGCACGATGTCGTTCTCGTGGCAGTAGCGCAAAGCTTCGAGGATCTGCCGCATGTAGTGGCTGGAACATGGTATTCTTTGTACAGGGTGATTCATAAGGAGACTGGCATAGTCAAATGGTGAATAGAGAAAATCATTATTTTAGTTCATATAATTCCAGTCACGACCCTGCGGCCTCCGACGTCTCGCAGAGTCGTGCTGGATAAAATCCAGTGACTACTCCTCACAGCCTGTGAGGTGAGTAATCACTGGGACCAAGTACCGTGTGCCCTGAGTAGACGCAATGATCCTAGTATGACGGCCTTCTGCATTCCACCAGCCAGGATGTGTGCCTTATCATGGCACGCTGGGATTTTCTGGATCTCCGAGAGCAGCGTGTGTCGTGTGCCTCCTAGGGAGCCGATAATCAGGATGACCAATTCCACAGAATGGTCTGGATATAGCCGGCGGAGTTCGAAGAGAAGATCTCGATATTTAGTCCGTTTCTCCTCCTCCTTCAAAACGATGTTCGGTTCGGCTGGCGCCGAAAACTCGATCACGAACATCGCTTTGGTTTGATGGTCGAGAAGGACTACATCAGGCTTGTTAGCTTGTATTTGCCTGAGGGTGGGGAATGAGAAGTTCCAATAAACTCGGCACCTCTCATTCTCCACAACGGACTCAATATCCTCCGGAGCATCATTATTATTATTATTATTATTATTATTACACTACGCATTGTTTTAACATGGGCCAATCCATTTTTTACACCTCGACACGTGTTTGCAGCTTCAGCAGAACTAAATGCTCTATCCTAGTGAACTACTTACATACAAACAATAACCGCCAATTTAATGTTATTCATGGTTGAGTTCACATGTTATATGACTAAACTATACAGGAGGCTAAATGGGATAGGTCCATTATCCTTATTCATTACTCCATAACTATTCTTAAATATCTCTAAGCTCTAAGCATTCAATTTTCTAACATCATTAACTTGCTCAACTAATTTGAGGTTATTAATATGTGTGTTATGATTTTGATTGAACATCAAAGCAAGAATGTTGTATTTATAGTGGGTTTATCGGAATATTTCGGAAGAACCCAAAGAAAACACAGGGTGATTTATTTTTCTACAAATACTTGCACGATAGGTACGCTCCTGGAAAGTCTGGATCAAATCTAATTGTTCCAGCAAATGTCTGATGATTGTGTTAATGATCAACAAATCGACTCAAACGTTTCCGAGATGGTAATGAAGAACTCTTTTTTTAATTTCGACTCGGAATCTCGGAATCGAAGCAATTTCGGACCCATGTTAACATAAACTTTTATTCATATCTTGTGAAAAACCTCCCCTAGGCTTTTGTCACCCCAACTCTGAAACACCCTGTATATACAAGGTGTCCCGAAATTACCTAAGAAATATTTCAAGCCCAGATTCTAGGAACAAAAATAGTGAATAAAGAGTTCATAAGATTTCAGCTCACGGTTTTTTGTCTCCCTCTGAAGCTAAAATCTACTACATTTTCCATTGTATGATAAATAACTATTTTTTGCCATGCTTACCTAGCAACTGCTTCACTGTAAACAAATCCTGCTGCTGCCCTACGGGTTATCTCGAAGCACAGGTCGGACCCATCCATACTGGAAAACATTGTTAGTATTATTCTCAAATCGAATAGGAGCCCTTTGCTGATTTTGACGAAATATCGTAAACGACTACCAATCAGCCACCTAGATCACCAGAGCTGAACCCTAATGATTTATTTTCGAGACCACATAAGTGAATGAAAGCAAGATGCATGGTGTTCCTTCAGAAATATCTCGGGAAATTTAAATAGAAAAGTCATACCAGACGTTTATTTCATATTTTCCAAATCATCAATCTGGGATACTTAAGGCATAACTGGCAGCCACTGACATCTTTTGAAAAATTCAGCAAATCCGGAAATGAGCTATATCAGGATGATCAAAGAATTACTTTCTTAACCATTTTTCTAGTTCTTGATGTGTACATGGGTATTGAAATTCTGTAATTAAATCAGTTGAATCTGATGAAAACAGGCACGTATATAACTAATGTTGCTGCTAAAACATTGGTAGGTATAACCTATGAGCAGAATGAATAGAAGATGGTGTAGAAACTCCTATAAAATCCCATCTACCGTTTTTCGGTCAAAGTTCTTGACCTAGTGCCTACTTGACAGGATTCTTTTCAATATCGCGGAATATAGGTCGCATTTTACCCGATAGATGGCGAAATCTCAACCAAAATTCAAGGTTGGTAGAACTGATCATTAAAATTCCCCAAAATCTCATTTGATTTGAGGTTATGTTATGAATGCTATGATATTATTATTTCTGGTGCAAGCGGTGTGTAAGCGCCGTTTCCTGTTTTCTGCCATGAAAGAAAACTGTAAAAAGTGTCGCCATCTTGCGGACAACTGAGAACTAATATGCCATTATTGCGGAATCTGCAGTCAAGCGTTTAGGGAGAAACAAAACATTGTCTGTGATTACACCATATTCGATCCACCTTGCCAATGAGTTATTTCAAAAAACTGTTTTTTTTTGTTTTTTACTGGTACAGGCACTCACTATTCGAAAACCATATACAGCATGCCTTCCGATGAATATGTTTCTAACAGTTCTACTATATGTGGATGTTTCAACATATGGCATATCGTTGCTTCTCGTTTCAAATCTGAAAAATAAAAATTGAGAATTTAAAGTCCAGCATTTATCATTGAGATAATTCTGGAATGATATAATTATAATAAGCTTCAGTGTATTATTATTATCAGAAATGAACTGTGTGATTGAAATCGTTTTGTATAAATCGAGGTATAGATCTAACATAGATTAAGAAGACCATCTAACTAAGTTCGTTTCTTTATCCAAAAAATTGATTTTTTTAGATCAATCTTCCTCCTTTCGATCTTCTTGTAAATTTTTTTTATATATGAAAACGTTTCGAAACATACAGGGTGTCCCCAAAAAAAAGCAATCTACTGAAGTTATACTTTTTTAATGGAACCTATTATTCTATTTCGAGATTCTCCCTGAAGAGCTAATTTCAAAGGCCCATCGTACTTGGGGTCTAACAGTAATAATCACTGAAATATAGGGTGTGAAAAATCGAGATTTCCCAAGTTCAGGGATTGTTTGTGTCGAAACTATTCATAGTTGGTCAAAATGGTTCACATATCCTTATCTCAATTTTTTATCTACTATCGATTAGTATTTCATTAAAATAGATACAGGCGAGGAAACAGGGTGGTCAAATCTTGATTCTAAACCACCCAGTATTTGTTTTAATTAAATATCAATTGATAGTGGAAAAACAGTTGAGATAGGGACATAGGGTCATTGCTAGACTCTTCACGAAGAAAGTATAACTTCAGTGTATTGTGATTCTTTGGGAACACCCTGTATATTTGAAATAATTTCAAATAGAAGCCTATGTTGACATGCAACTTCCTAGAGAGGAAGAATTCCAAGAAGATGAGTGGTTAGCCTTCTAGAGACCGAGGCGTTACTGGTGGCCCACCCTGTATATCATGAAACGGAACTTCATTATAACGAAACTTATCTGTTCTTGCCATATAAGGTGACAGTCTATGTATATACCGAGCGAGATGCCGAGATATTTAATTTTTTCAACAGACTTTATGATCGTTTTTTTTGCATTGTCACTATTTGGTACGTTTAGTTCTTGGTAATATGACAGATTAGAATGGTATGATGTGAAAGGTAAAGAGAAGGTTTTTTGAAAATTGATTGTCAAGAGTTTGTATTCAAAAACTTTCTGGAAGTCAATTTCTATGCTTATCATTTTTGAGAGATGTCCAATCAGTTCCCTGATAAAAATGGCAGTAACATCCGCAAAACTAACGAATTCTCCATTCAGTTGTTGTTCAAAGAGGTCATTTATATATAAAATGGAAAAAATTGGCCCCAGAATTGTACCTTGCGGTACCCCATACTTAATAGTACGACAGTCGCTTAACGTTCCGCTAATGTTAACGCATTGTTTCCGATTATCAAAATAGCTTTTGAGTATATCGTTAGCGACACTCCGGATACCACACAAATAGAGCTCGAAATTGAATGTTACTGTTCTCATGATTTTTTCCACGATTTTTTTTTACAAAATATAAAAAAAAACACACCATTTTTTGACAAAAAGACATTGCAAGCAGGTCATTCCAATTCAATGTTAAATAACCTGCATATTATTATTGCCTGAAATATGATCTTCTGCAATCAATTAGCATGCAATGAAAAATTGAAACTGTAAAGCGGAACTTAAAAAAGTTATTTTTCCGTTTTTGATGATCAGGTTGTCATAATATCATGAAATTTTTTCGAGAATTTTTCACTATAAACCGAGGTATGAACTATAGTTCAAATTGTATAGGTGATAATGCAATTTCTTTACATTGGAGAAAGTTTGAATCAATGTCCGAATTAGTTTATGACTTTTCATTCAAGTCATTTGAATTATTTAACGAATTAAACCACTGACTTGATTCACATAATTAATTCATGCCAACCCTGTATGAAATACAATGTTTCTACATGCCTTTGGGACATACAGGGTAACTCACGGTCGATGGTACGTTAGACGTTCATGGAGAACGCAACGCAGGATTGTTCTGAAAATTTCGCATCTTACATTTTATCACCTGTTCTATCGATTTAAAATATTTTTGAAATTGCGACCTTGCCGTTTCTATCAAAAAGTCCTAGCAACTTCATTATTTTCAATGGAACACCCCGTATACTAACAAATTTTTGGAATAGCCTTTTTATTACAATACTCTTTTGTTAATAAATCCCTATACCTATCTCTATCGGTTTTCGAGATAAAAAATAATTTGTGTTAAATATGATCCAAAACATATCCTTAATTGAACTTATGTAAATCAGGGCTCTCGAATCATAAAGAGTTGATATTTTAGTGGTGGTTTGGACAGGCTTGATGTATTTAATTCACACCGCGAAGTCGCCTGCATATCATACAGGGCGTGCTGAAATTATTATTATATCCGTTGTTCATACAAGTGGTCAAAAGTTCATTTTTTCAAATGGAACCCACTGTTTTTACTCAATAAATAAACGAATGAAAATGCTACAAGATGACATAGCATGTCCCTATACCTAAATCATCAAGTTTTCTTAATGAAGCCGCATGTATGAACAACGGATATAATAATAATTCCAGCACGCCCTGTATAATATGGAGGCGATTTCTCGGTGTAAATTGAATACATCAAGCCTGTCCAAACCACCACTAAAATATCAACTCTTTATGATTCGAGAGCTCTGATTTACATAAGCTTAATTAGGGATATGTTTTGGATCATATTTAACACAAATTATTTTGTATCTCGAAAACCGATAGAGATAGGTATAGGGATTTATTAACAAAAGAGTATTGTAATAAAAAGGCAATTCTAAAACTTAGTTAATATATTTATTATTATTTAAAAAAATGAAGTTGCTAGGACTTTTTGATAAAAACGGCAACGTCTCAACTTCAAAAATATTCTAGATCGATTGAACAGGTGATAAAATGTAAGATGCGGAATTTTTAGAAAAATCCTGCGTTGCGTTCTCCATAAACGTCTAACGTACCATCGACCGTGAGTTACCCTGTATATTATCATTTTGTTATCAGATGATGCGATCAGTGATGCCGGTCGGAATTTGCAGCCGGCTCTTGGACTATTATGATATGAAAGAATTTTGCGATGAGTGAATAGCGAGGTGAAAAAAATTAACCCTTCAAAATTTTACATCCAAAATTCCGAGTTATAACTCAGAATTTTAAAATCCCGTGTTATAACTCGGAATAACACATCAAAGTTCCGACTTATTGCTCAGAATTTAAAAATTCCGACTTATATCTCGGAATTTTAGAATTCTGACTTATAACCGGTTATAACTCGGAATATTGGATGTGAAATTCCGAGTTATAACTCGGAATTTTGAATGTAAAATTCCGAGATATGTCGGAATTTTAAAATTCCGAGTTATAACTCAGAATTAAGAAGCGTTTTATTTTTTTTATTTTATGTGTCCCTTCCAGGGCTTCGTAGAATAGTCTCGGAAATAATAGTCCTTATAATAATATCATTGCACTCACCTTCTGTGCTCAAACCGGGACTTGAAGTGAACTTGGCAACATCTACAATTTTTGCAGCAAACTGTTGCCCCGTTTGCCGATGAATACATCGTTTGACAATGCTGAAAGGTCCCCTGGAAAAATACACACTCTGTATAGTTCAAAATAGATAGTGTTTTGGAAAAAATAATTAGTTAAATTGGTAGGTCCCGAATTTTGAATTTTTAGTAAAATTTCAAGTCAATTCAGGAGATTAAAAAAAAACAGAAAATGGGGCTGTACACACTAGTCGAATTTACGCCATATTTCTATTTCATTTTGATCATTCCATGTAATTAAAAGTATTTGATGAAATCATTTCATTATTTGAAAATCGTTGAAAATCATCACAATAGTTATTTTTGTATCTTTTCTATCATTGGTGATCGAGATATGATCTGATCTGATCCGAGTTAAAAAAATAGTCGAGATGACCAAAGTATTTCGCGCTCGAGTTGCAAACAACATTTTTTCTACAAACGTCAAAAAATATAGTTTTAAAGTAAAAATGTGCTTAGCTTGATATAAAAAAATAGTGTTGAACTGGCTTAAAAGGCCTCCCCCTATCCTCCCTAGGTACGCACGATGTTACACGAACATAATGGGAATTTCCTTTCGTACGCTCCAAGAGATTAAACAAAGTTATTGTTGAATTCCTTGAATTTCCTTGGGATTCCCTGGAATTCCTTGAAGTTTCTTGGAATTCGTTGGAGGAAATGCGGTAAGGGAGCAGCAAAAAGTGTATTAATTTTAA